CTTTAATACATGAAGGTTAGACAAAATTCATTTGGAATTTCCCCAAATTTTTCAATTAGGGCTTTCCCTACCGGGTCCCAGGTGGGGAAAGCCTTACATTTCCAATAGGGAACCGTTTGGGTGTCCCATTTGGGACCCCATTTGAATTTGGAAAAATCCAATAGAGACCCAACCGGTTCCCAAAAATAAATTCTACTCGGGTACTTATTGACTTTATTACTCTAACAATAAACTCTATGTCCATGTCACAACTAGATGTCTTCTCTCTACTCTTTGGGGAACCATTTCCGGCTTATATTGTACTTAAACGCGGGAAATAGTACTAGACCAACTCTACTCTATTCACTAATGCTCTATCCGTGTAAACCTGCCTTTACCGATAAAGTAAAGTAAAAAAACGTTAGCGTCACATTTGGTTTTTCAGGTGCAGAAAAACGTCTTTACATTCGTACGTGTTATGACAAGGGCGGGAATACGTTGAGCAGTTTGCATCGCGATTGAAAGTTCAGTTACAATTCGAAAGAAGACGTTTACGGGAACGCGAAGCTCCTGCTTTCCACGTAATCCACTTTGTTTTTTTATATAGTAGTCACGTTTGAGTGGTAGAGGTATTTGCACGTTTCAGAAGTGATCTAAACATCTTGGGTGTCTAGTCGTAAAACCGAAAGAGCCACACTCGAAACGTAGGTAAATTTTGAATTTTCACATTTTGTATCAATATGTAAAACTGGTTCGAAGGGTGTAACTACATGGGAAGGGGGTTTATTCAAACCAACTCAAAATGCCGTTCAATTTTGCAGTCGGAGTTTCTGATTTGAATAACAAATAAATTGTTATTTTGGCATACCGGGAATAGACATCAATAACGTATTGATTTGATGTATGTGTTACTGGAAATGTAGGAATTGTATACAATTCCTAGGAAATCTATACATTTCCGAGGCTATTTAGGAAATGAATAAAATATTGCTTCAAAGATTTCTATACATACATTTCTTAGGAATTGTATGAAATTTCGATATTGTACCAGGAAATGTATAAAACTAATAGTTTCTGTGAATAAAAAACTCTAACACTTGACATTACATAACTCTCGTGGGAGACCGTGTCATTTTATAATTTTATTCTTTAATACACTTACCGATTCGCCACTGTTTTAAATGATAATTGATCGAAGGGTCTGCAGTAATATTTCTAGAGTAAAAAGCCACACCGACGAATGGTGTCTAATGTTCCTTCTCTCATCATCGAATTCCGAAGGTACGAAGTACATAACGCGGAGCGATTGTGTAATTAGATAATTGCTTTTCGAAAGACATAATTCTCGGGTTTATTCAATTCGAGACAATGTAGACCGCTATTTCAGCGACATCGCGTTGTCTGTCTGCGTGGAGTACTGAAGTTATTAGCACTCCGAACCACCTTCTTACCAGATTAATTCTGTTATTTTAGCGAGCGTCTGCTCAAAGAACAACTACCAGCAATAACAAGTGTCTTTTGTAATAAATTGTTGTCAACAAATTGCATTCATTAAGGGAATTTAATATATAAATCAATATCTGGAAGAAAAGGGGAAAAGTAATAGCTAAAAACCCGGATATCAATTTTATCTAGAAATGGAATATTTTTCGAGTTAACTTCTGTGAAGATTTTGATCGAAGCGAAGGATAATAACAATGTTAAAAGAAGACTACATTCCCTTTTATTTGTAAATGTTTCCCAATAAAATGAATAAGTAATTTACTGGTCTATCTTATTTTATAACTTATTACTGGATACTCAGAAGTTTGGTGTAGGAGACACCATCATCAGTCCTAAGACTGGTTTGACACCCCTAACACAGCTAATCATCGCATTTCTCTAAACCTAGAACATCCCACATTCTTAACGATTTGTGCATAGTAATCTAATCTAGGTCTACATCTACCCCTCTTAACTCCTGTTGCTGCTTCCAATATCTCCGTAACTAGCCCATCATGCCTGACAAGGTGCCCTACCAACCGATCTTGCCTATTTCTTCCTGACTTTCATAGCGCCCTCTGTCCTCCTACTTTTTCTAATTCCTCTTCATTTCTAAACTTATCTATCAACGGTAGGAGACATACCTTGGCAATTTCCTACATTTATGTCATTAATGACTCGTGATTGTGATTTAGATAATATTGAAACGTTGTAATTTAAATAGTTTAACCATTATTTAGATGTATATTTAATTGCATGATTATCCTGTTCAAGTGTTGGAAGATTTTTGTAGAAATAAACTATTCGAGTTAGCTTATTCTTTTATTCCTTCGTTTCGTTCATCGTATAGCGATCACGCATCATTTATTTGACCAACTTCCTTCCTCAATAAATAAATCTTTCGACGATGCATCATTTGTTATAGCTGTATCTATTATGGAAATGAAGAGCCGTGAATTCGGCCCCTGCGGGTAGAAACTCCACGTCCTTGCTGCTTTACGGGTTCGTAAACATTTTAAATCGACGACTGGCAAAATCACAACTTTCCGTTCGATGCAGAACGACGAACAGTTCACCTTAAACATTTTTCTATGTTGCAAAAGAAAATGAAAAAAAGGAAAAGAAAACGACAAGGTGCATACCGTGGGAGCTGAACTGAATAAAAATCGAACTGTATTCAATGTTCACGGTGAAATATTCTACCTGATTTTAAACTTCGTCCTGCTTTTTTTAACTGCATTAATGATTTAGACTGATTGAAAGCTATCTTTCACTATATCTAACAATAAGTCAGTAACAATTGTTGTGAGGCACTTGTATTTTATCACTACCTAATCATTTTTTCATGCACTGTTTGGTTGAATCCAAAATAGACGCATAGAATGATACAAAGATGTGGATAAGTCCTTAAGAGTTATCCTTAATAAAAAAAGGACTTCTTCAACCATTACTGCACGATAGTTACTTAATTGTAGATCTCTATATATTCTATTCTGTCGGAAATGCTAATGGCGTGCTGATGTGAACCAACATGTTCGAAATAATGCGCGTGTTATGGACTCAATAGAATGATGATGATCAAGAATCTACGATGAAGTTCTTTTGAGGTGATATTGGTAAACAACTTCGTCAAGATTTCCCGGTTTGTACAAAATTCTATACAGGGAAGCCGTAGGACCCTTACTCACCCATTTAAGTCAATATATACGCAATATAATTCAAATGAGAATCATTTAAAGTTTGCAAATTAATCAGAGTGCGCGATATAATTTCGCAATGAATCCTTAATAATACTAATAGTTAATAATTGTTAGTAGCTACTAATTATGGGTTAGATGAAACTCATTTTCCAGGTTCTTCTGGTTATAAAAAGGAACCATACCACCGGTGGTGCCACTTGATAATTACAAGTTCCTTTGACGATTGTATAGTACTGAGCAAGATCGGAGCGACTCAATCGGTGGAAAGTAATTTCCTTCCCCTTTCGGTGCTTTTAATGGCGCTACTTCTTATTAAACTAAGGGGGCGCTTCTACGCTTTCTAATTAGGAGACGGGTATCAAAGGACTCCCAAGTATCGATAGTTACCAAACAAGGTGCGAAACGAGCAAGTTTCAACGAGTCGAACGTAGCAGGAAAGCTAATAATATACACACACGTTCTTAGTAAATAATGCAGCTAGATTCTGTTCCTCGATGAAACACGAATAATGGAAAACTTTTCGGCTTTCAGTAACTATGCAGGAATTAATAGTTGTTTGATTCAGTTCTCTTTAGTATTATAATAATGTGGATCTCAGGACTAGGCAGACTGCCAACAAATTATTTATTTATGTAATTTGATGGAAATAATACAAATTGAAAAATAAAATGCGTAAGAAATGGCAGTGAAACCATAAGGGTGAGTGAAGCTAACCGCCTCACCGCCTTGCCTTATTCGCTTCTCATGCTTGATCGCTCGAATAAAAAGTAACTATTTATAGGATTGTTAATTGACCTACTAATCTAGGAATTAGTTTATAATCTTAATCAAGTAAATATCATAATTGTATCTGCCTACTGAATCAAAAGCCTCACTAGTTGATGAGATCAACCAATTTTGTTTATTTGGTTACATATCTAACCGTAAAATACAGATTTTATGTATTTTACTTCATAAGAATGCACATTTTGGACTAGTAACCAACGAATTCTTTTTTGAAATTATGCAAACGTGATGTTTATAAATCACGTCTTGGCTATTTGGTTGGAGTCCTTTCGAATTTGAAAAAGGACGAAGCAAATTTCCTTTTCGGTACAGCGTCTAACGAAATAAATATTTATACTCTGTCTCCCGTTCGCTGCCAAACTAAGTTTGACTTTTCGTCATATCACTCATGTAATCTGTTTTCCAAAAGTTGCCGAACTCGCTTAGTCGAGACGGAGAGGAAGTTCGAAATCCAGGAAAGGTATTGTGAACGTCGGAAATATCAATATATAAAAATGGAGAGCTCCAGGATAATATATTCCATAACTTTCTAAGCAGTTCAACTACTTCGTTCTCTTATTCTTCTTCCACTTCTTCTTATGCCAGGGTTATCAGGCAAAAAGCCGTTCGGAAAATGATAAGATAAATAGGAATAGATGTGCGAGCAGATATTCGATAATTCTAGTAAATGGCTACCGAAAAATGCGAATTCAAGTTGTTTAGATCAAATATTGACATTTGAAAATGTCTAAAATGTCTAAATATTGCTGTTTTTATTTAAAAATTTCGATTTTGCGAAGAAATATCTTCTCGAATTATCATTACAAGTCTATACCTACGCAGAGTCATAGACAGAACATTTTTATACATACAGGATTTAACTAATCATGAACGTAACTTTTCAATATTTTTACAATATTTATTAACAGAATATGCCTTTCTGTTTTGGGATTAGTAGGTACTTAAAAGGTCCCAAAACCATCGCTTTAAGAAGCACTTAACTGATATTAATTATCTACAAATCTTCCCCATTGAGATAGGCAATACTTTCTGTTTTATTTTAATTAGACTTACCGTTGAAGTTTCATCATCTCTTGGGATTTTTCACTTGGGTCACTTGTCATTCATTTCCCTCGTTGATTAGACTACCTGTACGTTACGTCGTTGGAAAATGGTCAAATGTCGTTTGTCCCACGGGTACTTCCTCGATGTCGAAATGAAAAATAATTCGCCCTGCAAAGTAAAACAGCTGGTAGTTTGTTGTTTACAGCGATAGGAAGACTGCCTTATCGGAGGCAGGTAGAAATATCTAGGTATCAGGGAAAAGCGAAAGATGTTGTGTTGTAAAATTCAAATCGGAATTACGAGTTAGTCGTATAAGCAGTTTACGTTGATGCTCCTGGCACTGATTCTCTCTTCGTTCGAGAGAAAAAGCAATTTTCGCAAGAGCAACAAAAGTATTTTCGGATGCGATGATTTTCATCTACGACCAGCCGACTTATCGCGGTAGGTATGGGCTATGGTTTAATTGAATCACTTTTTGATGTAGGCTCAGTCCCAGTTGGCCTTTAAAATTTATTCTCGTGTTGGCTCGTCAAAAGTACACTTCGCCCTTTGCATTTTTAATGCGACGGCTCTTTGATGTTAGCAGAGCGTTTTGCGGTCGGAATGGTAGAAATAAATTGCTTTTTGAATTTACGTTCAACTCGTATTAGGCACGAGGTATAGTGCTACTGCATTAATTTCTGGTATCGTCGAGTTTTACCTAACTGGCGAATCATATGTAAGATTTAAAAACAATGAGGCGGCTAAAGTTGTAAGGAAAAATTTCGCTGTAGAGGGACTCAGGTACCTAGAAAGTCGGATAAGTGAGGACGGAAGGAGTGGTAGGGATATAAAGCAGAGGATAGCACAGGGTCGAGTCGCCTTCAATAAAAAGAAGTCACTTCTATGCTCGCGAACGGTTAATTCAGAAAATCGTAAAAGGTTGTTAAAGGTGTGTGTTTGGAGCACGGCGCTGTACGGGTGCGAAACATGGAAGGTGGGCGCGGCCGAAAAGAAAGGTTAGAAGCTTTCGATATGTGGTGTTACCGACGAATGACAAGGATACAGTGGATAGAGAAGGTTAGAAATGAAGAGGTATTTGAGAGAATAGGAAAACAGAGGACTATATGGAAGTCAATAAGAAATAGGCTAGATAGGTTAGTAGGGCACCTTCTCAGGTGTGAAAAGTGTTCCCTTCTATGCTCACGAACGGTTAAGTTTGTTAAAGATGTTTGCTTGAAGGGCGACGCTGTACGGGTGCTAAACATGGACGGTGGGCGCGGCGGAAAAGAATAGGTTAGAAGCTTTCAAAATGTGATGTTACAGGCGAATGATGAGGATACCGTGGATAGAGAAGGTTAGAAATGAATAGGAGAACAGTTTTCATTTATTACTTCATTTTGGTTTGACTGGAACAAGTTCAAAATCGCGATCCGTTATTATTATCATATACTCTAAAAGGATTTCATTTTTTATCCGCTAGTCAAACCAGACGAGAGTGTATAGGTAAATATACCATTATATACGACGTATAAAAAGAAAAATAAACAGTTGACGTTTGACCCCATTCGTTCTGGTTCTTTGTGGAAAGATATACCCCGCCGCTAACGCATTTTCGCGACTTACTTCTTGTGTAAGATAAGGTGAAACTCGTCTTGTATATGAAGATATATGGGGCGCGGAACCAGCGAATCTCCTCGGGAAGATCGCAAAGGGCATTTTAGCAAATCGAGGCCTACAAACGCTTCCCATTTCTCTCCCTGCTTCCCCTTCGCTATTCCACTCACACAGTTAGAATTTATTTGTTTTTCAATGTGTGCCTACTTTTCGTTCCGCACAATATGAAAAAAATTATGTTCGGGGACGAAATCCGCAGGACACTATTACCATAAAAAAGATTTAAGATGACCCTTTGGGATACCAATGGAATACTATTCAATGATTCAATAGGGGCCAGGTTTTGAGAATTCGGTTAGTTTAAGACTGTCTTTACGGAAGCAGATGATATTTTTAGTTCATAGTCTACCTATTCACCAAATTATGTATTTGCGCTTATGGGATATATAAAAAGAAAAAATCCCGACAAAGAAATATATAATTACTACTATATTCGGTAGACATTTTCCATTTCCCGTATAGCAAAAGTTCAGCATCGTCCGATCTTTATACAAAAGCTCCAAATACACATCATATACATTAAATTTATCTTTGCGGGAATAGTTGTTGTAATTTTCGGTTCTCTATGTGCACATGACGAAAACATGGAAATTAATTGTCCTAAACGAATTCTAAAATCACAACCTTTCATAAATTCTAAACTCGACCGACTAATACTGGACCCCGGTTTGTTGGCAACAATAAATTTAACCCCTTTATAAACCCAAGGTAGTGTATCATTTTGTTTCCGGCAGCATTTAGCATGGCCGAAAAACGTCGGAAGTTTGACAACACACTGAAAATGAAATATGGATGCGAATATAAAAATGCGAATTTAATAAAAAATTTATACAGAAACGTACAGGTAAATATTTTAGTTTGAATTACACTAGGAATAAAATACAATTGCATATTTCTCAAAGACTAGGTATAATATAGATGATAACAAAATTCATTGACCACAAAATAAAATAGATCGTTATCATAACTGGAAATTCGAAAAAGATTGTTAAAGGTGTATTCCTGGAGCGCGGCGTTGTACGGCTACGAAACATGGACGGTGAGCGCTGCGGAATAGGAAAGGTTAGAAGTGTTCGAAAAGTGATGATGATACTGTGGTAAAATAATTCGAAGTGGTCTGTATTCTGTCGAAACTGCCAGACGCGGATCGCGATTTCGATCTTTTTGGATCTCATCAGCGCGTCGCAGGCAGCTTCGACAGAACACAGACCAACTTTTACGTGCTGTCTTAACAGTGCGTTTCAGAAAATACTACAAACGGCACAGTGAACGCCATCTGTAGCACGATGCTACATTTTAGGATTACGTATTTATATAATATATAACGTACGAAAAATACGTAATCCTAAAATGTAGCATCGTGCTACAGATGGCGTTCACTGTGCCGTTTGTAGTATTTTCTGATACTGTGGTAGTTTGAAATTAGGAAGCATTAGAAAGGGATGTCACTAGGGATGTCATTAAAAAATAGTTCGGGACACCTTCTCAGGCATGAAGGGCTAGGCAGAAGCAGAAACAGCAGTTAAGAAGAGCAGAGGTAGACCTTGATTAGATTACAGTTGACAAATAAGGATGTGAGATGCTAGATTTTTAGATGCGTGTCCAATCAGTCTTAGGACTGACAACCTTATGATGATAATGATAACAGTCGCTATATGTCAAACCTTCGCAAAATTCCATTTTTCGTAATCAATAGGAGAAATCTCATAAACAAATTAAAAAAAAAATAAATTTCTCGTAAATACCTTCGCTTTTTTGCTTCTCTCAATAAAGAATGATATGAACCAATTTTTGTTCCCGTAACGTTTTTAGAAAGTAATATATCAGCTTTATTAGACTAATGTAAAACTGGTGGTAGGTCAAAGAGAAAGCAATAACGTGGACGTCCTTTATCGTGTAGATGTCTCACGTCCCAGGGGACTTTACCGAGTCCGATGGATGCCTTTGCAGAGAACCGAGCAGTCGCTTCCTGATGTCTTTTTACATTGTATATGTTGCATGCTTACAGTTATTTGAAATTGCAATGAAGTTTTATACTCTAATGGAAAAAAGGTCAAACAGTTCTTTTATATGTTTACTACAATAAAAAGAACGGGAAATATGACGTAAGTTTATATTGCTTCAGAAGCTTATCGTCAAGTTACTCTTTACTCTAAACTAATTATGGCAAACGTTTCCTAATAAGTCGATGTCCATAAGAAGTTTGAATAGATTTTTTAAAAATCCTAATGCCTTTAAGAATCATATCAAAGACAATCTTATAAATAAGTTACAGGAAGAGCTGTATGGTGTTGTGGGACACCTGGTAGGAACGATATATAAGAAAATTCAATAAAAAAAGTAGAGATTAAAAGCAAATATTCATCTGGTAAAGCTGCGTTTTGCTGGTTAGTTCCTTGCTGACGTAGTATGTGTCCAATTTATTGAGGTCAATTTAGGTAGCTATAGCTTTGAAGTTTCACTGGTTTGTGGTGCAATTTTGTCGTTGCTGACAACTGAAATATGTTTGCTATGTGTTTTGGCAAACACAAATTCCTGTACCTATGTAAATGTGTCGTCTGTTTCTGTACCTACACGTTGGTATGTATGTTTGAATTTACAAGTGCAATTGGACACTGGGAAAAGCGGTATGCCACTCGTATTTACTTTACAGTTTTCCTCTGTCGCTTTTTTGTGTATGTGATCGTAAAATTGAAATACCCTGAAGATTCTGCTGTTGATTAGATATATCTTTCTATTATTAATATTTTGAGATAATTTACCTTTAACTTTAAAATAGAAAAATAATTTATTTTCTAATTGAAGAGGTTTTGGTATTTTATTCCGGCTTTTCAGTTTCATCTGTTAAAATTGCGAAGCAAAGGTACTGAACTTAAATAAGAAAATATCATATTGATAATATTGTGTGGTATAAAAGATTTTGGTAGAATTTCCTGTGATACGATAGAATAATCCCAAGGCATTTTGCTAAACTACATTCCACAACTTTGTAAATTAGTAACATCACCAACTCGTGAAATCAGAAATTGAAACACTAAGTACACACGTTTATAACGAACGGTAATTCCCGAGAGATGGAAGGTTGTAATATATGTGTCCTACGGTCAAAACTTCATGTTTTGTTACTTTAATAAAAAGAAAGAGCGATTACGTTGTTTCATAAGGACAGCATAATAATAATCCACCAGCATGATTGTTAAAACGATATAGTAGAAATTAAAACCAATACAGAAATGTTATTAGTCAAAGACACTTAATTAAATGGTGGTAAATTAATTAAGAAAAAGTGTTTCTGTAGCAAGCTTGGACGAGGTAATAGGGTAATATAAAACAAGAAAATTAAGTAAATATGTGGCGGTCTGAAAGTTTACTGTTTTCGAGAAAAACGTATTTGAAAGGACCAGTCCGGCCCTGGTAGAATCACGAAGGGAAATGCGACACTGCAATGTCTGTTTTCATCGATGTAGCTGCTTAGTTGTTATTGCAATTTCTCTGTACGTTGCCAATCCACG